CCCACACACGCAAACACACACACACACACACACACTCTCTCACACACACACACACACAGAACATTCCCCTAAACATTCCCCTTTTTTATTTATTGATTTTATTTATTTATTTTTTGAGATCAAGAAATAATGTTCTAGTAACATTCTTTTTAGGTTTTATTTTTAACATAACATAACGTTCCCAGAACGTTGCAGAGTGGTTATTTTTTAAATAACCTAAAAATAACTCATACAGAACTTGTCCTAATGATTATTCTTAGGTTATTTTTATAACCCTGTAAACTATCTCTCCAATGAAAACATTGCAGATGTTTTTATGTGATACAAATACAGAGCCACTTCACCTGGCTTTCGGGAGCGCACAAGATATTAAACGTGACAATGATACTTGAAGTGAAAAGCAGTCTCATGATATCAGTATAAAGTTGAATTTGTTGTAAAACCTTTGATAGTGCTTGCATTATATTGTTCGGTCTTTTATTGCATGTGCTGTTTGATTGGGTTTAATTTGGGAACGCATGTAAAGTCTGATGCGCTTCACTGTTATCATTTACAAGCATCTCTTCCTCTGCGTATGTTGCGAGTTTGGCTTGCATAATGTTCATCTGGGAAAACAGTGTGAGTTATCTCACTAGATTTGTAACGTAGGCCTAAATCATTTATAAACCTATGCCCACACAGGAGAATACATCAACATATTTCTAAATATGCGATTCGATGTACATCAACATATTTCAAAATAAGTTTAAAACCTCGCTCTGAGTTTGCATGTGGCCAAATATTAAAATTAAATGGATTTAAACATTAATCACGCTGTAAAGTGAAACATCACCAGGCCGTTGGCGCCCTCTGCAGGTATTTGCTATAATATGTATTGTACTTAGGATGGTTACGTTCATATTGTGTATAGACACATTACATTATATAATTTAACAGTATTGTTCAATAAAACCATGCAATTACTTGGTTGTTATACTTTATTTGAACCAATTATTATTGCCTCATCGTTTATATATAAATATAGTCATACTAAAGCCTGTTTTGAACTTGGATCTATTTTTATTACAAAAAAAAAAAAAACATCAGATTACTCAATTGTCAAAATAATCAGTAGATTACTTAATTACCAAAATAATTGTTCTAGATTAGTTAAAACATTTCAAAATACGACTGCATTGTTTTACCTTTTGTGATTAAAAGACAAATATTTTGTCATTGAACATTTCTTAAAAAAGGAATTAAATTATTTTGTTGTTCTAGTGAACCAAGTTTCTGTATGTAGTCTCATCTCGTGTGCTAAGTGTAAGTTGTCACTCCCCTGTCTACAAGCATGATATAGCTCAAAATTGCCAAGTGTATGATATAGCTTTCATTCTTCAGGTCAATCAAATATTCATGAAAGCATAAAATAAAATAAAATAAAAAAATCAGTTTGAATAAGGAAAGTGGTAACTTTGCCATAGTATCCTTTCAAATGTTGAAGTTGCCACAGTCATTGCATGCTTTGCATGTGCTGCACTTTATTTGTACCATTTTGTTTAATTAGTTTATTTATTAGAATTTGAAAGATAATAACGATATTGGCCTGGTTTCACAGACAGAGCTTAGACAAAGCCAGGATTAGGCCATAGTTCAATTAGGACATTTAAGTCATTTTTATAGATGTGCCTTAGGAAAAATAAAAACATACTGGTGTGCAGCTTGAGACAAAACAAATGCACTGAAATATTTTAAGATCAATCAGTGCGAGTTTCTTTCAGTTGAAACAGCTCAGATTTACATTTTAGTCTGGGACTAGGCTTAAGCCTTGTCTGTGAAACCGGTGGATTTTTTGATAAGCGAGATCTCTGGTTTTAATCCTTGAAAACAAAAAAGTAGTGCTTGAAAAAATCCTGGAATTTCATTTTGCAGCATCTGTACGAATCCGGTTAGAATAACATTCTACACACCAAAAACTAACATTCTATTTCCGTTTAGAAAACTTTCCTGGCTAGTCAAAAACAAACCTTAACAAAATAACGTTCTGGGAATATTCAAGGGAACAAAAATTTGTTAGCTGTTTTCGTATCTATACATACTAAAATATAGATAATTTACACAGAGGAGTGGAAGAGGACTCCAGTGGCAACCTGTGAAGCGCTGGTGAACTCCATGCCCAAGAGGATTAAGGCAGTGCTGGAAAATACAAAATGCAAAAAATATTGACACTTTGGGCCCAATTTGGACATTTTCACTTAGGGGTGTACTCACTTTTGTGGCCAGCGGTTTAGACATTAATGGCTGTGTGTTGAGTTATTTTGAGGGGACAGCAAATTTACACTGTTATACAAGCTGTACACTCACTACTTTACATTGTAGCAAAGTGTCATTTCTTCAGTGTTGTCACATGAAAAGATATAATAAAATATTTACAAAAATGTGAGGGGTGTACTCACTTCTGTGAGATACTGTAAGATTGACTCTTTAAGAACTTTTTATTCGATTTCATGTCAAGACAGGTATCACCCTGATATGTTGGACATTATGGTTGTTTATGGTCATTATGGTTGTTGGGTGACGGGAAACACATGAATTGGACAGATGATGAGATGAATGGAGAAACAGACGGATAAATGACTGAGAGATGAAACCGAGAGCTTCAGCGATGTGTGTGTGTGTGTGTGTGTGTGTCCCGCAGGTGCGGTCTGGCTCGGAGCGTCTTCTGAGTTTTGGTTCAGGGATCCAGATGGAACCAGTGTGAACCTGCGGGCCGCAGCGAGTGTAAGTCCAGTGAACAAACACACAGATTCATGTCTGATTCACGCAAACGCTGCTCTAGAGTAAGACAAGAGTCGTTTCAGAGATCTGAGATTCAGTTTGATGCTCTTCAGCTGCAATGAGGCTGTTTTCAAGCGCAAACCTGCTGATATAGGCCTGATATAGGTGAACGCACACACACACACACACACTCACTCACTCACACACACCAACACACTACGCTCATCCTAACACACGGATCTGTTCTCAGAGCTGCAGCAGTGTAGCTTGTGCTGTATGTATGTGTCAGAATACTGACACGCTCAAATAAACATGCTTGTGCATCCCAACACACACATGTGCACTCGCACGACTTCAACACGCGTGTCTGAAGTGCTGTAGGCGTGTGGAAACTGGCAGGTCGACTCCACACACACACACACACACACACACACGTCTGATAGGTCTTAATGGCACCATTAGACCTGATCGTAATTAAACTAATGATCTGTTTTAATTCACCTCCAGCATCAGATAGAGAGATGCAGTGTGTTGTTTTGTTTCTCTCCATCACAATCATTTCCAATAACAGCTGTTTTTTTAAAGCCGTTATGTGTTTATTTTGATGTTTTATTAAAAACAGTCAGAGTTCCGTGATTACTAATAAATGGACATAATTTCAGCAAAAAAAGGTTTTGATGCTAATGTTAGCATACCTTTTTCTTTTTTAATAAATCTGCAAAAATGTCAACGATTCTGTGTTTTTCTGTCAATATGGGGTGCTGTGTGTACATTAATGAGGAAAAAAATTAACTTAAATGATTTTAGCAAATGGCTGCAATATAACAAAGAGTGAAAAATTTAAGGGGGTCTGAATACTTTCCGTACCCACTGTAGTTTGAATTTATTTTTATTTCTTAGTTGTAGTGATTTTAGTAGACTAAACTAAATTAAACTTTAGTTTCAATTGCTCAATGAAAATATTTACATTTGAATATAAATTCATATTTCTTTAAGTGTAGTGGGGGAAATAATAATAATAATAATAATAGCAGTAATTATATAATAATAATAATAATAACAGTCTTTGAACAGTTTCTTCTTCCTCTGAACTTTGACCTTGGAAGCACTTTTCCACAACTCAAAGTCTAGTTTTTAAATACTAGAATTTAACATTACTCTTTTTCTACTGTATCTGAAGGGTTGTTTCACTTTGTTTCAGAGTAACTGAGATTCAATGTCCTTTTTTAAATTACGATAATTAAATAATTATTAAAGACTGTTTACTTATAAAAATTTCCCAGTGAAAGTGACATGCTTAGTAATGTAAAGCTAAAGAAAGCATGCTATGAGCTAGACTCATATGGTAATGTTCATAGGCTGTTTGTTTTGTTATTATATTATTAGAAACAAACAGCAATGCAGTCATATACAGAGGAAAACAAGTTTATTTTCAGTTTATTTTGGCTCGTGTTTGTTTCTCTTTTAATGCGCTCTGTGTCTGTAGCTGCGTCTCACATTAAACTTTTACTTTCTTTCTTTATTTAAAATGTTTCCCAGGAGCGGATGTCACATCTGAAGTCATGAGTGCCATACACCTGCACACACACACACACACACACACACACACACACACACACAGACTTCTGTTTTTATATTGAGCTGATTATATTTGCTCTGCCGTGACTTTAAACCCCAGCGCTAGCCTTTCACATTAAATATAAAGTCATTAATAATATTATAGAGCTCATGATCTTAGACTAACCCTCAAACAAACCTTGCTGCATTTCTATATTTTCATTAAGAGTGCATATTACATTAATTTTGATTTGGTTTTGATAGGGGCTCAGCATGAAGGTGATAGTCGTGCCATGTTATAGTGCCGCTGTCATCATGAGCTCCACCAGCAGATGTCAGTGTAACACCACTGAACACACACACACACACACACACACACACACACACACACACACACACACACACTGTTCCTGTGTGCTGATGTGCTTTCATATGTCAGGAGGATCCAGACCAGCTTTACTTTCAGAAATGAACAGTTTACACGTGACTAAAAACACAACATTCAACACAAATGAAAACTGAAAAGCTTTTCATTTGTAGCTGACATCAAATGAATCAAGTATTCAACCCCAGCTGATGTGATTACTGTTAGAGACAGACTGTCAGTAAGGAATGCAGAGCTATACAGTACACATGTTATCAGTGCTTGCGTTTTCTGGGAATCAAACCCATAACCTTGGTGTTGCTAGTGACTTGCTCTACAGTTTTATGTAGCTCTACTGAGCTACATAAAATAAATTAATCAATCAACACAACAGCAGATGTTTAGCTGATTATCAAATAATAATGACCAGAACGTGATCTAGCACATGATCCATATGGATTATAGATAAGTAGCAGTCTTAGTCATATGGTCACTGTGTGGAAAAGAGCAGCCTGGGTTTATAACTCCTTCACAGTGTTAGTGTGTACTCTGCAGAGTCTCCAGCAGGTGGCAGTGTGATCACGCTGACGGCGTCGCTCTGCCTTTATCTGCCGTGTGTCGCTTGATTCCTGGACAGGGATTTGAGAAAGCCAGTCTCTCTCCAGTCGTCATCCTCGCTTCTGTAAACACACGGAACTGTGTTTTGTGTGCCGTTCCTGTGCCATCTGTGACTGTCAGTCCTTTCCCAATGTTTTCCAGATTCAGTCTCTCCTCTTCAGAAGCTGTCTGCCGAACCGGTTTTTCTCTCTTTTATCGTTGTTTTGGACTCGGTTTTGTTGTGGGGTTGTTTTCTCTGATCATTGTCTCTGATGCAATCGCGTGCAAACGCTGCTCCTGTGGTGTAGATGTGTGTTTCTACTCGTCTCATTGGGTTTGAGGTTCTAGTGTGCTGTTTATCTACACACACACACACACACACACACGCACACACGCACACACACACATTTGATCTGCAGTAGGTTTGGGGCTGAAGTCTCTCCATGAACAATAACAACAGCCAGATTTTTTGTCGCTGGTTTCTAGGTGTTTTCTTCCTGTCTGGTGTGAAACGCGGCTCTGTGATGTGCTGATGTTTCAAACTTGTTCAGATCACTATGAGCAATAACAATACCGATGGCTTGACTTCCTAAACACCTCGAAAATGAATAATAATATGCAATTATCCTTGGCTTTTCGGCACTGAGTGTCTCTGAACATGAATACATGTACTGATGACACACAGACGCAGGAAGGTGGGCTCCATGCGAGCTCCAGCTTCATCATACTGCGTGTGTTTGTCAGTATCAGACGCGAGAATCAGTCTCTCACTGTGGCATCAGAATAGAGTTGATTAGGTGCCACTCTCGGGAGAGAGGAGCATTATGGGATACACACAGTAGAGAAACCAGGGGACAGAACACACAATAAAACAGACCCACACGATTGCTAACGTGTCTAAATCAGAGCATAACATGGATTTGTATTGATTTTATATAAAGCTAATTATAATGACTGCAGACCGGCCCAAACCATACTAAAGTGCTTTTAGAAATATACAAGCCTCACATTTCTGCTTTTAAA